TTTAAAGCTTATTGCACCTGCACAAACTCAGAATTGTGTCCTGCATGCATATAAAAATGAAAAAAAGAGACTTGCAGTTGTAAAACAAACACTAAAGAGCTATGCATACCTGCTAGGACCGCCGGTGATCTGGAGCTTCTAGGTGGATGCTACACAGTTAATGAAGGAACAGAAGGATTGCTAAGTTGGTGACAAAAAAAAAAAAGACAATGTAATGGCCTTTTATAGCCACACTATAGACCGTTGCCTGATTACAAAAGAAGAAGAAGAAGAAAAAAAACTTGTATTCTATGATAGAAAGGTCGGCTATGCAAGTTGTTTTTCCTCTTCTGAAACAAGAGCAATAATTCCTATTCAGTTCTGCAAATTTTTCTTATTCAAGTCATAGCGAAAAAATTGATAATTCCTGTTTGGGTCTACACTCTTCAGTTACCCTCCCTTGGCAGTTCATTCAGGAAACAAAGGATGCGACATGCTACCCAAGACAAAGTTTTCCTATACTATTGAAAAGGCAAATTATCTTTCCTAACTTGAAAAGAATATGATTAGTCTTTGCTCTCAACTGGTTAAGAATACAAGGAATTATAAAGTAAAGAGCATTTAGACGGGAATGAAGCAAATATTTCATCAAAGAATGCGCGCATATCAAGATAAGAAAGAGAATATGAATCAAAATCTTTAATATGTGATAATTCATTAACCACTACTCGGAATCACAAACGAATTGCATCGTTGGATTCAGAACAATGAAATCTTCAAAACAAGATGTTATAGTGACCACTTCCCTGATAAAAAAAAAAATTCTGCAGGTCAGTCAAAGTATTGGTTGCTATTCAGAATAAAAATAAATTTTGTTTGGTCCTCCAATACACAACTGTTGGTAGTCAACTTAAATATTTTATCATTTGATTTGATAAATTTTAATCAAGATTGGTTCATAAATCTCCAATTTTAATTATCATATTTTATTTCACAATGAAATTTATTTATTTATTGTGAAAATATAATATGGTCAAATCAAATTCTAGTCGAAAATATAAAACCCTCTCAACCATATTTTTTCGAGATATGCCCACTTATTTCTAAAGCAAGTGAACTTGTCTCGAGGGGGCATTTGTAGAAACATAAATTTTATAGCAATTAAATTTTCTCAAGTTTTATTTTATTCTTTAAAAGAAAGGATAAAATAAAATTGAAATAAATGACATGGAAAATAAATGAGCCTTCATATATTTCTTGGCCAATGAAAAGTTGACACGTGAGATGAGATATTCAAGATATCTTGTCATAAATTCAAGATCCCATCATATATCTTTTCATAAATATAAGATCATGTCAATAAATATCAACCAATAAAATTATGCCATGTGGCATTGGAAAAGGACCTAAGAGCCCCTACATATCTCTATAAATAGAGGGCCTCAACCTAAAGGAAAAGGATTCCGGGAGATACAAATTTTTTTCAAGACAAGCTCTTCAAGCAAGGAAGCCCTCTCTCTCAAAGAGTTCTCAAGCCTCCTTCATCTACTCTTGAAGCCTACAAAGAACGAAGCTTTGTTGGATCAAGCCAAAACGCCCCATAAGAGTTCTTCAACAACACTTTGAAGACGAATCAAAGGTACTCTTTAAAGCATCAAATCATCAAATCTTGCTTCGCAATACACGCCCAAACTCATGTTCTTGCAAAGCACGAATCTTGGCTTGATTACTCAAATAAATCAAGTCACTATACATCAAATCCAAGAGAAGAATCAGAGGATTGTCATATTCTTTTGAAAGAATATATTACATAGAGATTGTACCCATTCATATATTAATAAAATCATATACTTGTATACATGTGCTTGTTTAATTTCAGGTGCTCAAAATTGTATCTACAGATATCTCCAGCCATTCTAATGTATCCTTTCTTCTCCTTATTTTATCGAAGTAGTACTTTCGTAGTTGCAATCTGTCAGTTGAACTTCATGTGGCTTCCATTTTGCTTTCTCTTTCTTTGCATGATCTTGTATATAAAATGTAACCCGTGGTTCAAGTGAAGAGAGGATAGAGTTGGTGAAATTGATTAAGATAAAGTTAAGCATGTTTAGCTTATGTCTAGCCATGGATCTCTGTGGTGGATTTCATTCAGTGGTGAGATATAACCTTTAATTTATAAAGCGGTGATCTTTCTGTATCTGTTAGAATGTTGATAATTTTGCTATTGTGTATGTCTACGGTATTTTACTGTAGAAATATACTGATATACTGCAGAATTATTGCTGAAGGAAATCTGCAGAAATGTCAGTAGAGGTCCCTAAATTTAAGGGATATGTTACAAGCTTTGAATGTATCAGATGAAGACTTTCTAATACAATTTGTGCCTGTAGATATAATGTGATACCAGTTCTGAAGCAGTGTGAAAAAAGACATCAGTTTACCAAGAACAAAAACTTTCTTTTCTCTTTACTTCTCTGCTGTAGAAGTTCCAGTTAATCACAAAACCAACAGTATCCTTTGATATTTTTGTGAGTTTAATATTTGTTCATTCTCCTAAGAGTGGTGGCGATTTCCTAGCATCTATAAAGGGTTGAACATAATCTAATCTCCATTTTTTTCCTAGCATCTATAAAGGGTTGAGCATAATCTAATCTCCATTTTTCTCACATATCCAGAATCTCCATTGAAATTACAGCCCCCTTGTGCTGTATCTGCAAAAACTTGGTCTTCTCATCAGCGTAACTGGTGTCTAATTCAGTTTGTGCATATTGTTGGGATTTTCCATCCTCATAATCTTGTTTTAATACGAAAAAATTACCTATGGGGCAAGAAAAAAATGCATTTGAAGTGACCATGCCAGTCCCTGAGAACACCTCCACACCTGCTAATCTGCTATGCCTGGCTTGGTCAACGAACTATTAATATTTCACTTCTGCAAAATATGAAAGTGAAATTTAACTTGGTAAGGTGACTTCAGATCTGCCATAAAGATAATATAAGGTTTGGTCGTTTTTCCTTTAAACCTGGATCTCAATTTACCTAATAAAACCAAGATCTATTTCAAAAAGACATTTTTTTTTTGAAGCAACATCAACATGAATTAAGTGATACATGCTTCTGATGAAACCAGAAATATAAGAGAAGTAGCATAGGTTGTCAGAACAATTTTCTTGTATGTTCTGTGTTAAACATTTCTGCGCCTGATAATCTTTCCCCAACCACAGGACAACAGTTGAGAACTAGGAACAACTACAATTTTTGCTCTCACAGCATCATCTATCAGCTGTGAACTTTTTTTTTCTCCTGCTGTAACAATATTCACAAATCACATTGGATGGAAACCATATGCACAGGACATTAAAGCATCTTTCTTCATGCAATCATATGGTACTATACTTACTAGCATTGGTGTTGACAAACCTTTTATCAATGACAAAGCAAAGCTTTATAACTCTCTGTATATTTCCTGTTACTATATATTGAATGAACTTGGCTATATATAGCCTTACAGTAGTAAATGAAACAAAAGAAATATCACGTGTGCAGTTTCTGTTAGCATTACAGTTGCTAACAGAAAACAGTTTTCTAACAAAATCAGTTATTGATTCTTATTTATCTCCTACAGATATAGATATATGCACGTATTCCACCTGTCAATTCTTCCCCTAAACTAACTGTGATACATAGATACATATTTAGTTTAGCTTAATAGCTCTACACATTCCTATCTGACTTCTAAACTTCTGGAAGGATTCCAACTTCAATGGTTTTGTCATGATATCTACAGTTTGTTCTTCTGTTTCACAATGTAGTAGTTCAATAATTCCATCGTTAGCAAGTTCTCTCAAGAAATAGAAATGGACATCAATATGTTTGCTTCTTCCATGCATAACAGAATTCTTTAACAGTTTAATAGTGGAGCTATTGTCACACACATAACTATGATACTCTTCTTCTGAACATGTCCCAGTTGATTCAAAACTCTTCTCATCCATATCACTTGACTTGCACACCTTGTAGTTGCCACAAACTCTGTCTCTGTGATTGATAATGTGACAATTGGCTGTTTCTTTGATAACCAAGACATTACCCCTGAACTTAACAAAAAAAAATGTAACTTGAAGTGCCTTTTCGATCATTTAAATCACCAGCATAGTCATTATCGGTATAAACAATCAAGTCATTCGAGCTCCTCTTCTTGTACATAATTCCATAATCTAAAGTACCCTTTAGGTATCTTAATATCCTCTTAGCAGCTTATAGGTGTAGGTATGTAGGTCTAGCCATGTATTTGCTAATCAAAATTACACTGAAAACTAAGCCTGGATGAGTTGTAGTGAGATACATTAGGCTCCCTATGATTTGTTTATAAAATGATTCATCAACTACAACTCCATCTGCATCCTTGCTTAGCTTGGAACCTGGAACAATTGGGCTATTGACTTCATGACTTTCTATCATTCTAAATCTTCATTTTTTCTAAATCAATCATCTCAAACACTTACATCATTAAACACTTGAAACTACTTATCATCTCTTCATCATCACCTGTATATTTAAATCATCGACATAAACACTTGCAATAAGCATTTTTCCTTCTTTGCTCCGTTTGGTGAAGAGTGTCTGCTCATTTGGATATTTTTCAAAACCCTAATTGATAAAGTAATTATCCATGCGGTTGAACCAAGCTCGTGGAGCTTGTTTTAGGCCATACAGTGCCTTATACAACTTTTAGACTTTGTCCTCACTTCCCTTGACCTCATAGCCCTTTGGTTGTTCAATATACACATCTTCGTTAAGTTCACCATGGAGGAAAGCTGACTTCACATCCATCTAGAAAATATTCTAGTTTCTTTGAGCTGCTAGAGCCACTATCATCCTTACAGTTTCAATCCTTGCCACCGGAGCATATACTTCTATATAATCTATGCCATGTTTTTGTGTGTAATCTTTAGCCACCAAACGTGCTTTATGCTTCTCAAACTCTCCATGCTCATTGTACTTGGTTTTATAAATCCATTTCAGCCTAATTTTCTTGACTTCAGCGGGTAATGAACTAATGTCCATGTCTTGTTTTTCTCTATAGACTTGATTTCTTTATCCATAGCTGATCTCCAGTTTGCATCTGTCACTGCTTCCTTAAAATGCAATGGATCACTAGACATTATCAAAGCCAAATCTTCATCTTCAGAAGAACCGAGACTCTCCCCAGTAACATAATCCTTCATCCACGTAGGAGGATTTCTCATTCTTGTACCTTCTTTATTATCTTCATTGTCTCTATTATTAGTGCATACATCTCCCTCATTAGCTTCAATCTCTCTTTGTTCAATGCTTGCATTTCCCTCATTATCCTCACTATAATTATCCTGATGTTCAGTGTCATTATTATTAACATCATCTACTCCTTCTTCATCACTATCTCCCTATTCTAAGTCCACCAACATCTGCTTTTCAAAGTTCTCATCCCAATCCCATTATTTCTCCTTTTCAAATATCACATCTCTGCTTACCACTACCTTTTTTGTAATCGGGTTGAATAGTCTATAGCCCTTAAATTCCTCACTAACACCTAGAAGTATACACTTAACACTTCTATTGTCAAGTTTAGTTCTTTATACCTCTGGCACATGAACATGTGCTATGCACCCAAAGACACGAAAATGTTCAACAAAAGGCTTAATTCCATTCCACGCCTCTGCTAGTGTGATGTTTTTGACCATCAAGGTTGGACATCTATTCAGCACATAGTTGCTCCAATTCACTGCCTCTGTCCAAAGTGTTCTTGGAACTTTCTTTTCATACAGCATTGCATGAACCATGTTCATTACTATTCTATTCTTTCGTTTAGCTACACCGTTTTGTTGAGGGGTGTAAGTAGTCGCCAGTTGCCGCTTAATGCCATGTTGTTCACAAAATTTATTGAATTCAAATGAGGTGAACTCACCTCCTCTATTTGTTTGTAGACACTTGATAGATAGGCCTGTCTCATTCTCCACCATTTTCTTAGAACACTTGAAATGACTTAGTGCTTCTGATTTTTCAAGCAAGAAATATATCTATGGCTTTCTGCTGTAGTCATCTATAAAACACAGTGTGTATTTCTTGTTGCCACACCACATATGAGTAATTGGTCTCTAGATGTCTGCATGGATGAGACCTAATACTTGACTTGCTCTCCAAGAACCCTTTCTTGGTATAGAATCATGGTGATGCTTTTTTATGATATAGTTTGTGCATAATTCATCTGAGACAGTAAATGAGGGAAGGCCACGTACCATTTTCTTGCTCTGCAGGGTTCTTAAGCCTTTATAGCTTAGATGTCCATATCTGTAATGTTAGAGTTGTGACAGATTTTGCTGGCATTGTGAGTTTGTGTGAAACTCATCGTGTTGTTGCTAAGATGTCTTTTGTGAATTAGATAACAGAATGAACATCCTATTGGCACTCATGTTTGTCTTAGTGATTAAACCTATGTGAGGGTGGTAGATCTTGCATATTTCTCCTTAAATCAGAATTGCCAAACCCTTCTCTTGAAATTGCCCTACGCTTAAGAGATTGTTCTTAAGTTCAAGGATATAGTATACTTTAGTTACAGTAAGGTTTATTCCATTCAAATGCAACTTCACACTTTCTTTGCCCATCACATTCATTCTGGTGTTGTTTCCTAACCTTACCAGTTGCCAAAAACTGTCATCAAGCCAACTGAACATGGTTCTATCTTCACACATGTGGTTTGAGCATCCTGAATTAAGGAACCATGCATCTCTTCCTTTAGCTTTGTTTTCTTCTACATAGGACATTAGCAACATCTCCTCTTTCTCGTCAATATCCTTGGCATAGTTAACTTCTTTGTTCCAAGAAGGGCACTCAGATTGGAAATGGCCCAGTCTATGGCATCGATAGCATTCAACTGTCGCTTTGTTGAAATTGCTGCTACCGTTGCCCCTTCCTCTTCCTCTACCCTTATAAGTAGTCCTACCTCGTCCTCTGCCTTTCTCTTCTTCCAGAGTAACCTTCAAAACTTGTTCTTCACCATGATTTTTCGTAAACTTCTGCTCATGCACAATTAATGAGCTTTGAAGTTCATCCACAGAAAGTTTGTTAATGTCTTTTGACTCTTCTATGCAGCAAATAATGTAATTAAATTTTTCTGTGAGGGTGCGAAGAATTTTCTCTATAATTTTCACATCCTCCATCTCTTCTCCATAGACTTTCATCTTGTTTGCTACTGTCATGACTTTAGAAAAATATTCTGTTACTCCTTCATTGAATTTCATATCCAAGGGTTCAAATTCTCGCCGTAGTCCTTAAAGATGAGACTTCTCGACTCTTGCATTTCCTTCAAATCTTTTCTTCATGGCATCCCAAATATCTTTGGCAGTGTCTTTCTTTAGAATTGTGTCAAGAACTATGCGATCTAAGGCTTGGAAGAGATAATTCTTCACTTTGAGATCCTTTAGTTTCAGTTCATCCATCTTCTTTCTTTGTGCATCAGTTTGCACAAGTCCGCTTGCTGGCTCATCATAGCCAATCTCTGCCAGTCCCCAAAATTCATTTGAACGTAGAAAGTTTTCTATAAGCATGCTCCAATGGTCATAGTGACCAGCAAACCCGGGAATGGAAGGCTGCACAAAATTCCCTTCAATAGACATCTCTCTTGCACTCTGTGTTTGGATGGTTCAAAGCTGTGGCTCTGATATCAATTGTTGACAAACCTTTTATCAATGACAAAGCAAAGCTTTGTAACTCTATATATTTCCTGTTACTGTTTATTGAATGAACTTGGCTATATATAGCCTTACAGTAGTAAATGAAACAAAAGAAATATCACGTGTGCAGTTTCTGTTAGCATTACAGTTGCTAACAGAAAACGATTTCCCAACAGAATCATTTATTGATTCTGTTATTTATCTCCTATAGATATATGCACGTATTCCACCTGTCAATTGGAAACAGATTCACAGAATGTGATAATTCTTTGTAAGTGAATAAAATCACAACAAATCTACAAATCTACAAATCTATAAGTAATAATTATGTTTTCTATGTTTTCGAGTATTGAAATTTACCAAATGAATTATTATTTAGAAATAAAACTAGATTTTATAGAATTAACTACTAAATTAAACTAAAATAATTGACAAAAATAAATTAAAATTATAAAGAATAAAATTTAAGATTGTAGAAATAATAATAACAAAAATAAATCTAGAGCTTTTGATTTTACCTGATTAATCCCATGCATGCAATTTATTATTTCTAATTATATAATTTAAATCTTTATATTTATAATGAAAAAATCTTTTCATCACACCTAGTTTTTCATCCTCTTTTCATAAATTTCCAAGAAAATACAAAAATATATATATAAAAATGTTTTTAACGTGATTTGGCCACTTTTTCAATCATTTCACTTATTATTTTTGTATTGATAATTTTTTCTAAAAAAATAAATAAAATCAATCAAGAAAAAAAGATTTTAGTGAAAAAATAATAAGGAACAGTTTAGAATTTTTTTCACTAAATTAGTCCGTATTATTTTTTCATTAAAAATCTTCTTTCGCTTCCATGTCTTTCACCTTTTCCAATTATTTTAGAGTCAAGGAGCACTATCCACCGGTCATCAGAGTTCTTATACCCAACGATAGCCACCTCTTCTTCTTCCATTCGAGGCAACAACTGTCACCTCTCTATCTCTCCTTGGTAAAATTGTTAATCTTCTTATAAACTTACATCATTTTTTTTTTGAAAAAAATGTTAAAATATTATGAAATTTAAGGTAAAATAGTAATTGTTGTGTATAATTTTTAGACTATTGAGACATTATTGATTTGAATTGATGTATATTTATGATTTGAGATGATTTGATAATTTGTATTAAATTATTAATTTATTTTAAAGATTGTGATTGGTATTTCAATATTAAATATTAGTTTCTAAATTATGCTTGAATTTATATTGATTTATTGTTTATGTCTGTGTCTGTGTCTGTGTTGATCCATTTGATTTAATATACTATTTCAATAAAGCTCATGAAACTAACAATGTTTAAGCTGGTTTTTTTTTTTTTTTTTGCTATTGTTGGATTATTAAACTGGTAGATGATGAATAAATAATTTATGCAATTTTATTGTCTAAAAATTAAAGCATAGTGACGGTTTTCAAGAGGTTACAAGACTTCTAAAGAAGTTAGAAATTAAACCCTACATCCTTTATAAAATAATTAGGAATTTGAATTCATAAAGGAAATAAACAAAAAAAATCCAGATTAAAATATAAAATACAATAAAACGGAAGAAAAATATTAAAAACTATCATACCAAGAATATTAGTGCTCAAATAATGATTCTAAAAGATTCAACGACTCCTACACCCATTCAGTGGCATGCTAGACCTACTAGTTTTGGCTATTCTAGAGATTTTCCTGAACCTAAACCTATCTCATTGGTATATAAAAGTGCCTTTGAGCCATCCACATAGTTTGATTGAGCCAAATTTTCATATAGTAATTTCAGATCATTACTCGGCAGCTCAGAACCACTTATATCTACTAGCCAAAGTACATCATTGGTCCATTGATTTCATTTTGGCTAGAAATTCCTATTACTTCACTACTACAAAGTTGGCTCCTAATAACTCTTTAAGAATATGGAAGAAGAAATTTTAGGATTTGCACAACTATCTTTTTTAGCCATTTAATAGCATTCAACAATTAACCATCGGAAATCATTGACTATGAGAAATCTTTATGGATTGCTTCGTTCAAAACACAACTTCGTCATAATGGGAAATTTCCTATCCACAATTCATTCTATCCCCAAAACTTTCTTGTTTCTGTCTAGCCAAATGATTCACTAATGGAAAAGAATATCATAAACCATAGCCTTCCTTTTCATCTGTCTGTACATTGAAAACTCCTACTATTGAAGGAACTCTGGCGCAGATCTGGGACCTGGTATTGTTGGTGAAGCTGTACAGCCTGTACTGTATGCATGATTGGTGAAGCTGTACTTCTGACCTGTTATGGGCCAAGGCTCTATCTCCTGATTGGGTAAAGCCGTCTCTTGCTGGTATTGTTGCTGGGATAAGATAAGATCAATCATGTTCTCTTACTGTTCCTGCAACTTGCTTGTTGGATTCTATGATGTTGTAAGAGAGGAAGAGAGACAGAAAGAGAGTTGGAGTAATTTTGTTGGATGAATGAAAGGACTAATACAATTAGCAAATAGGAATTTGATGGAAATCTAGATCATATTTTGTTGCTAAAATAACACATGCTGTAGAGGAATTGCAAATAGATGACAAATTCATTTCAGACTTGGGCTGCAACTAATGCTGCTTTCAGTGTCTTTTCTCTTGTGTACTAGCTATTGCATCATTCTGCCGTGTGTTACCCTCTTACGTTGTCAATCCTTCAATAAAGAATTTCCTAAGCCCTACTGCTAAATCTTCCTTTTTGTTGACCGAAAATATGCAGCGCTTGCACAACTGAGGTTCTGTAGAAAATCGCAACCCTACAAGAAGAAAATATGAAGAGTGGAGTGAAAATATGAAGAGTGGAGTTTAACTTGGTAACGTGGCTTCATGAACTATGCCAAAAAAGTAATATTAAGGCTTTCTTGTTTCTCCTTTTAAATACAAGGGAGAGGCTTAAACCCGAGATTTCCTGGGGAGAGGCAGACATCGGTGCCGGTTGAGAGTCTCTGTACATTGCTTGTCCTATTAACGTTCACCGCCAAAAATGAGAAGACAAGTGATGTTTATTTTTACAGAGGAAATCTTTATGTTATAAATTCTGAATAATATAACTATTCTATTCTGAAATAATTTATAAAATTGTTTAAATAGACAAAAAAAAAAAACATGGAAAGAACTTGATGGAAGATGCTGTTAGACACATTAATTTTTTTAACATCTCATTTACGCTAAATTATTTTAACATCTCATTTACGCTAAGTCTTAGAATAGATATATAAAAAAAACAAGTTATTCAAAAAAT